TTTTTTTTTTTTTCTTTTTTTTTTTTTTTTTTTTTTTTTTTTTTTTTGTGACCAGCTGGTACAAGAATTGAACTGTGCATCTTGGTATTATCAGAACCACACTAACCACCTGAGCTAACCAGCCAGTCCTGCCTTTGCAGTTTCTTGAAACACTGTGTGTGTGTGTGTGTGTGTGTATGTGTGTCCATGCACAACTGTGTGTTCATCCAAACCTCTCCCTATGCTGTTCCCTCTGCTTGGAAAGCCCTTCCCTCCCAAGTTCTAGTTTATCTACTCACCCTTGAGGACCTGGCATAAACGCCACCTCCTCTGAAGCCTTCTGGGACCCTCTGAGGCAGGATGTGCCCCCTCCCATCCTTATGTATTTACAGAGACCACTTCTGTCTATCAGCACCCCTGGGATTCCTGTCATTTCCATTTGTGTCGCCCCTGCATGGACAGCTGGGGACCAGACCTGGTTCACCTGTGTGCCCTGGGCCTAGGCTGGCAAGGAAAGTTTATTGAGAGAATAATGTCCTACACCTGCAACAGAAGACGAGACGCAGAGGCAGAGGAAGAGAACCAGAGAGTGAGAGCATTCAGAGATGGGGAGTATGACAGGCCCACAGAGACAGGGAATGACAGAGTCCCTGAGAGGCAGAGGCAGCCACCAGAGGCCTGACCCACCTGGCTTTTGTCCAGAGCCTCCTGGATCACCCGGCTTGTACAGCCCGCATGGCAGGGTGTGATGTATTCCACACGAGCACTGGGGTTGCAGACAGGGTTAAAGTGGTCTGATGGGCAGGAGCAGAGCTTCATGCAGCCTGGAAATAGCCCTGGCTCAGGCTGGGCACTAGTGGGAGAGAAGATCAACAGGGTTGGGCCAGCTCTTCTCCCTCAGGCCACCGGCTGGGGCTACCTCAGCCCCACAGCCTGCTCCCCACCCCTGAGAGCAATGGCCAGAGACTTCAGCTCAGCACAGGCTCTTTACTGCCAGGGCTGCCCCATTATGGTGCCGGGGTGAGCTCCTTGCCATGGAGGAATGCAGGCAGAGAGACAGGCTGGGAGCTCAGGAGGACTCCTAATGGGAGAAGTGGGGAGTAAGGTCTGGATCAGAGGCTCTGAGCCCTCTTCCAGCCCCTAGATCCCATGAGTCTTTGAGCTTCTTCTGCAAACATCTTTGCTCCTCAGAGACCCTTCTAAAGAGAACACAAGATAAATTCCTCCCAGAATTTAGTGTCAGATGAAGAGTACCTTTCTCCATGAGCTGGATTGCTTCCTTTTCAGAAAATTAGAGCTATGAGTATGGGACCCATTCAGGATACCTGGCCGCCTGTGGGATCCCCGACCTGTTCCTGCCTCTCTGGGTCTCAGTTTCCCTGCCTGTCGGCTGCGCTGGGGTGCCCCTCCCCATCACCATCCTGCAGTCTCATGACCTCTCTACTCACTCCCACTACCCTGTTCACCATGTCCAGGATGTGTTTAGGCCCACTTGCCTCCTTCCTGAGGCCTGCTTCCAAACCCCAGGAGTGCCCCTGCTCCAGCTGGCCTGGGCAAGGTGGGAGTGGACAGGGGCAGGAGGTCAAAGAGGCTGAGTCTGAGGAGGTAGGTCACCCTGGAAGCGGGGAAGGGAAGTAGCCTCTGGGACTCAGAGTATGACATGGCTTTACACTAGGAGTGAGCACAGCAAACCTGCCAGGGAGGCAGAGGCCCAGAGAGGCTGGCGCCTTGCCCAGGGTCACACAGCGGGCCAGTGTGTGAGACTGAAGGAGGAAGCTGGAGGTCCCTCTCTTGGGCTTGGGCTGGGTGTATGTCAGAGGCCCAGGCTGATTGGTGGGCCTGACAAGCTTAGTGAAATCTCAGTTCCATGGAGAATTAGGTTAGCAGGGGCTGAGGAGGCTGAAAGCAGGACAATTGTTGAGATGGCCTGTAGCCAGGGGTAGGGGTGTGCAGGTGGAGCACGGGGCAAAGTTGAGCATCTCTCCCTCCCTAAGGTGGGGGGTCTCCATCTGAGCGGGGAGGAAGATCATAGCCAGCACAGTCCTCTCCTCCTCCTCCCCTGCCAGACAGAGCCTGTGTGTGTCTGCCGCTGTCTCAGCACGTCTCCTGTGGGTGGGGAATAGGCTGGCACTGTCTGAGATGAGGGTCCATCAGGAGGCTGTGCCAGGGGACTCTGCCCAGGGGGAGGTGCTTCCCAGAGCCCTCTGCCAGCAGCTGGAAGGCTGAGTGGGTGTGTGGGGGGGTCTTCCTTGGCTCCTCCTGTCTTGTTCATCACCTGGAGCTGGTTGCTTCTGTGGGGAGAGTCCCATTTCCAGGCCCTGCCCCATCCCATCTGGGTGAGTGACTTCACCTCTCTGAGCCTTGCTGTACTCATCTGTGAAATGCGGATCATGATTAGGACCCATTGCAGAGATCTTGGGGGTTCAGTGAGATGCACCATATGAGCTGCTGGGTATGGTGTGGGGCGTGTGGGAGCCCCTCGGCTTTTGGCAGCTGTCAGTATCATTATTTGCGTGGGAATATGAGAAGTTCTCGACTTGCTCAGTTGGTCCCAAAAGGCTTCTTCAGTTAATTAGAACCCAGAGCTCAGTGAATAAATTGCAAGAATAGAGATGAGAATACGGGTGAGGTGAGATGTCACAGCCAAGGATGAGAGGGGGAAGAGAGAAAGGGGCACATGGGGGCCGGCCCGGTGGCGCACTGGAGAGTGTGCTGCTTGGGAGTGTGGCGGCGCTCCCGCCGAGGGTTCGGATCCCATGTGGAGACCGGTTCCCGCTCACTGGCTGAGCGCGGTGCGGGCGC